CTGGGTGAGACCTGGAGGCTTCCCAAAGCTGATATGTTAATGTCAAACTTTACCATCAGTCATGTGTGGAGTTCTGTGGGCTTACCAGGGACCACGAGCCAGAACCTGGCCCCCTCAGAGAAGCATGGAGAGCAATGGCCTATAGAAACCCCCATGTGGTTGGAAGCATTCTATGTCTGCCATCGACCGGGTCAGGCACCCAGAAAGCTAAGCGTCCCAAAACAAATCCCTATTCTGGTGAAAATTGCTACCAAAAGCCGAACAAGTGGACAGAACTCCCAAAAGCAACGGGCAAATGAGCATGACATCACATGTCGCCACGCCACTGTCTGTGCAGCTCCCCCCTCCCCGGGAGGGGGAAGCCCCAGACCCCAGCCCGGCTATCCACCCTTCAGTTCTGAGGCTGGATGTCAAAACACGTGAAAAAAACGCCAACTGGGGGGAAGGAGGGATGCTGGGGACCCTCTGGGTCTCACCCAGAAAATAGCATTTCATTACTGTACATTCAACGCTGGTTTTCTGGGGGGAGCCCCTTCGGCTCCCCGGTGCTAACTACCCACAGAGAAAAAGAAAAAGGACTTGCCCGCGAGGCAGTCGCTGCTCACTCCTCAACTCTGAGTCGAGACAACTGGCTGCAACCGCCAACCCAAAGCGACACAGGCCCGACGTGGCCCAGGAACGAGACATCGAGCAGCCAGGACCGCTGCCAAAAATTTGACCACCAAAATCCCCAAATGTCAGCCCAGGACATATTTCCAAAACGGCAGCAAGAGCAGCGAACTTGGAAACGTCATGGGCTTGCCTCAAGCTGGCTAGCCGTAACAACCCTGCGGACGACCCGGAAGACCTGCACCTGTGAACAGAGAAGAAGGGAAACTGGATCCACCCAAAGCGCGTCCCTGGATACAGCAGCCATGGCGCGCAAATAACAGCAGAGGGCCGAAGCCAGACACAAAACATAATACACCCCCTGCCCGACCAACCAAGCAACAACCGAAGGACCCCTCCGGAAAGCAGCAGTCACATTCTTCGCCAGGAAAGAAGGGGATGGCTGCAGACGAACAACCCCCCAACCTAGCGAGGGGGGACTCCGGGGACACATCCATCGGATCCACACGCCCCCTAGGGGTTTCCCAGGGTCCTGAGCGTTTATGCACTCATGCCCAGGTAATCCCAGGCAAGGTACTGCTAGTCGGTGCCCAAGTCTACCAAACATAATCTAAAAACTGAAACCCCCAGGACGTGTACACTCACAGGGACCTAGCAGGGGGAACCATCGGAAGAAAGATGAGTACTCACTATACAGGGGGCAAGAACCAAGGCAGACCCCCTCCCCCCACTAGGCAGACAAACAAAAAGTAAAAGAAAACCCTGCAAGAGGATAGCGTATCTAGGCGGAACAGAGCCAGCCGCCATGATTGGTAAAAACAAGCTGCTCAGTACCCTGTGCCCCTACCAGTGCAAACTGCCCCCCCCCCCTTACCCTAAGGTGAACAAGGAAGACAGAACGCCCGAGCACACAAAAGGCGGCCGAAAACCAAGCAGTATACAGCCTAGCAGAGGCAGTACCCAAGGAACCTGGGGAAGGTAACCCCCAAGCTCCAAGGGCAGTACTTACAGGGCACCTAGCAAAGGAAACCCAAGGCACATGCAGCCCGAGTACTGGGGAATCGCTCCCGGCTCACGCACCACCTAGAAGACAGTCACCACACGCTAGGTACAGTGCTGAAACAACCACTGAAGCCGGAGCACACGACTTGCCCATAGCATCAGCCTCAGAATTGAAGGGTGAATAGCCGGGCGGGGGTCTGGGGCTCCCCCTTCCCCCTCCCGGGGAGGAGGGAGCTGCGCAGACAGTAGCGCAGCGACGTGTGACGTAATGCTTGTTTCTTTTTGGGGAGTTGTATCCACTTATACGGCTTTTGGTAGCAATTTTCACCAGAATAGGGATTTGTTTTGGGACGCTTACTTTTCTGGGTGCCTGACCCGGTCGATGGCAGACACGGAATGCTTCTAACCACACGGGGGTTTCTATAGGCCATTGCTCCCCTTGCCTCTCTGAGGGGGCCAGGTTCTGGCCGTGGTCCCCGGTAGGCCCAAGAACTCCTTACACATGACTGATGCCAAAGTCTGACATTAGCATATCAGCTTCGGGAAGCCAAAGGGGTTCCCCCCCAGAAATCCAAATTATATCAATCCAGACCTGAACCAGTTTTGCTGGAAATCCATATTCCTGAAATACAGTACAGTACTGTATACAGCAGTAAGTTTCCTTATAGTAAGTGATACAATACATGTTTTTTCATGTTTGCACACAGATAATATATAAACTATAATTTTGGTGGATATAAGTATTATTTATATTTTATAAATGTACAAAATATTTTTTTGTTTACTTACCATAATGGAGCACAAGCTGGCCTTCTAAATCCAGTGGTAGGAGAAAATGACTATAGTACTGTGCCACACATATACAGCTCAATAGTAAAATTAGACTTAGTTGGGAGGAATCAGGCAGGAGGAAATCAGGTGGGTTTTACAGATATCGGTCGGGCGGGTGAGTGGGAGTAATTAAGGATTGGGCAGGTGAGATAGGGTGGGAGACAAGTATCAGTCGGCGGGAGAGGGGGATCAGCAGGGTGGGAGAGATTGGGTTGGCTAATAGGCTGAACTGAGGGCTTTTGGAGGGATTTGGTAATATTAAGTTGGGCAGACAGCTGCAAGACTTCTTAATTAACAATGAAAGTCAACAAAACCTTCACCCCACCACCCCCAACCCCGAATTTACTCCATACAGCCACTCCTCCTCGTACGGAAACATTTTCTAAGCATTTTTAAGTTAATTACAATGGACCTAAGATCCCTGGAACTCCACATGGTAGACATAAGTCAGGTAGGTAGGTACACTCCCTGACCGAACTGTTAAACCTCAATCTTTCTGCTATTACATCCTTTCGTCTGCGAGTCTAACCCCAGGCACATCCACCCACAAGAGGTCTATGTAGTTTGGCAGATGTCCACCGAGTTGCCGTGGCGCGACTGGTGTTTTGTTTTTGTGTTTACCCACAGCAAAAAAAAAACATCCCCCTCTTTCACTTTTTTATATTTGCATATTTGTTGCATTTTGCTACTAGTGCATCAGGAAATGCAGGAAATTTGCTGTTTAGGGCATCAATAAGCAGTAAAGTCATGACATAACATGTTGTGATGATCTTTTATCAAAACATTCAGCTTATAAAGGAAGATGAATCTAGAGTGCTTTCTGTGCCAAATACAAAGTTGCCAAATCCACTCTTAGCAATATATTGAAGACGAAAGAGAAGATTTTTGCAAGTTATGCTAAAAGTGAGTAAGATGTTGTAATGCGCAACAGAGAAGTTACTAGTAATGCTCGTATTAAGTGTTGATGAGGCCGGGAGTAGTACAGTACAAGAAGGCACATGACGAGTCAAAGCAGCCAGTGCCAGGATGGCCGATTAAGGAAAAAGCCAAGCATTTTCACTGGAAAATGGAGTTTCATGATAATTGTGTGTAGTGATGGATGACTAAGAGGTGTTAAGGTTTGTCATGGTATTAGATGTGTGAAATTACAAGGTGAAAAGCAATCTGCTGACGCAAAAGGTGCACAAGAACGCGTGTCCAAATTTGAGATCATGTAGGATGATTATCTCCCGAGACTAGCATATGTTGACCTAACCTAACCTAATATTTATCGTTTGGGGACAGATAAATATTTGTTTCCTCAGTTTGCATATGATATACATGAATGCAATTTTTACATTATGAAATACATATCACAAGCAACAGGTATGCCAATTTACAAGAAAATCTATAAATTAAAAGAGCCCCAAAATATTACCGGAATATTAACTTTTTATTTTATTGCGTAACCTTGTTCAACTTCATAGTGTAAATACTAGCTCAATTTCCAAGCAATTCACATGAAACTTAGAGTATACGGATAGTACCTAGCTCTACAATTCACAGCCTTCATTTTATTTTACTGCTGATATCAGACATTTTCAAAGGAGTGATTTGTTCATCTTGGGATGGGTGACAAAATAATTATTTTTTACTACAACTAGACATAATGGAATAGAAATAAGGACTGCTAATTAAAGATTAGATGCCATTACAATAGGTGAGTACATCAGAGATAAACAAAAATTAAATTTCCATGTTATATCTTTTTGAAAATGTACCTTTTCATTTAATTTTTTAAAATTAAACTCTTTAGGGCTTAGGAGTTCTAGTCTGTCAAAAAAAAATTCATTGAAATTGAACAACTTTTACTTTTCCGTGTTATGGTCCCTTAAGAGCTATCAATATAGATTGGGGGATAGAATTCTCAAAAGTAAGGAATGTTCTAAAAACAATAACCACAAGATGCCATTTTGAGCGCAGTGTTTGGTATCCAAAAATAATGTATCTACACAATGTTAACTCAGGGCGGTCCCATGGCATAAATTTAGGATATGCCACGACACTGAGATGCACACTGATGTGAAGTCATTAAGTATAAAATATTTCTGAAACCAAAAGGGTGGGAAGAACATGGATGGAAATGCATAATAAGCACTAAGTCAAATTTTTCTAGAACATACACAAACAGCAGATCTGGGAACCCATTCACTCTGTACCAACAGTAATGAGTTATTTATGTTGCAGACCCTAAGAAAGTCTCCTGCATTGACAAGGCTAGAAATTAAGAACGTGGCAACCATGACTAAGCAATTGCCCTCAAAATGTATGGCTTCTAGGTTAGAGCCAAGCTGGGATCACTGAGAAGCACACCTTTTTTTCCATAAGTATGCCTTAAAAGCTTGAAATGTACAAAACTGAAATCTACATATAGTCTACATATGTACCAAGAGAAACAGCCTTTACTCATAATACCTTAACTGCAACAAGGCTTCAAATTTGGGTAATTTTGAAGCCAATTTACCTAATAAAATGGGTCAACTAAACTAAAAATATTCATATAGTAATTAAACACTCACCTCTATACTGTCTTCGTGCTTCTATTTGTTGACGATAAAGAGCTTTCTGAGACTGAAAATATTCTCGGATGAAATCATTGTCTAGGTTGGCTTCATTTTGTAGCTGCGGAAAAATAAAATACATTACTCAGTATTACATTCATAAGTACATTGATTTAATGTACTTACTATTATTAAATCGTAAGTACAACAATTTAATAATTTCTATTAAAATAATTCCTTAAAATTAACTGCCCTAGAATAAGAAATACAGTGTAGTATGTATGTGGTCTAGTCACATGAGGACAATCAAGAAATGTAACACCAGTTTCTAATGACAGTGTTCCCCATGACAAACACTATCAGGAACAAGTTATAAATGTACGTATCGAGCACACACTACATATACAGTAATGGTTAATCGTGAATGGCTAAAAATTAACAAAAGTATTTAATATACAGAACCTGAAAAATTACAGTAATGTATCATCAAACATTATGCAGCATTAAAAAAATACAAAGACATAATACTAAAGTGATAAAGTACCAAGAATTTAAATGCTATAATACCCATTAATATTAAAATGTTTTACACCAACATTGCTCTCAAAGGTATATAACAGCAATTTTGAAGCCTTGTTGCTCAAATTAAAAATGATTTCTCAATGTGATTTGCACACTGCTAAAAATGTTTATTCGTGTTTCAACATATCACAACAACAACACATTTGACAAATGCAATCATGGTGTTACTGTGCATTAAATACATGCTAAAGGAATTACTAGCAAAGGAGAAAGATGGAAAATTCCTAACGAACAGAAGACAGTGTAATAGTCAACATAGTAAAATCCGGATCATCTACTGTGAAAAGCTCAATCCCCCAAGTACTTGCTCCAGTACTTTTTCTCGTCCTAATATCAGACACAGACAAGGATACAAACTACAGCACTGTATCATCATTTGCAGACGACACTAAGCTTTTCATGCAAGTAGACAATATTGAGGACACGGCAAGCCTCTAATCTGATGTAAATTTGGTCTTTCAATGGGCCACAGATAATATGTTGTTTAATGCAAATAAGTTCCAGCTGCATGGAAAAAGTACAATTTAAAGACAGAAATCAAATCACATTATAGAACGAAAAAGCAATGTAAAGGATCTAGGAATAATCATGTCAGAAGACATTACTTTTACAGAACACCATAAAGTATCTGTCATGACTGCAAGAACAATGACAGGTTGGATAACAAGGACTTTCCAAACAAGGGATGTCATAGCAATGATGATACTTTTTTTTTTTTTTTATCGACAGTAGTGCACACTAGGGTGGAATATTGTTGCACTCTAACAGCCCCATTCAGAGCTGGAGAAATTGCTGACCTAGAGAGTGCATAACCAATACAACCAACCAACCTTTACCAATAGAATCCCCTCTAAGTCGTCTTAATTACTGGGACCCACTGAAAGTTCTAAATCTGAATTCTCTAGAGCGCAGGTGAGAGATACATAATAAGCTACACATAGAAGATATTAGACACACTGGTTCCAAATCTGAACACAGAAGTAACATCACAGGAGACCAGTAGGCATGGCAAGATGTGCAAAAATACCCCCATTGAAAAGCAGAGGTGATATCTCTCATGACTTTATTCACTAATAAAGTCATGAGAGGCTATTAGTAAAATCAAGAGGAATCTAAAATATTACACATTGTCTTGGGCCCTTGTGCAAGAAAGATGAAACTTTAACAAAGTCAAATACTCGTACTGTACTGTACTTGTACACATACTCGAAGTACTGTAATGGAGCGAATGATATGGAAGAAAATGGAGAATAGAACCAGTGACGAGCAGAGGTGCCATAGGCATAATTAGAGAACACTATATAAACATCAGAGGTCCGCGGTTGTTCTATGTCCTACCAGCGACTATAAGAATGCAGTATACACAAAAGTGTAAAGATGGGGGGTCCTTTTTTGTAAAGCATATGTGAAATAGTGTTGGTAACTGGCATTGAACAATTGAAACTGTTGATTTGAAGGGGACAAACATTTGAAACTCCCACATAGTGCAGTGCCTAATTCTGCACATACACAGTGCATAGTTAATGTATGAACTGTCCCCTCTAAAACGATATACAGTACATAAAAAATCCTATGAAGACAAATAAATAGCCCAAAGTACATTCTGTGACTGGAAAACATGTTGTAAAATTAGTGTTAAATGTAGAAAACCAGTTCAGAACTCCTAGACAAAATCTATAAATAAAATGGGGAATGTGATTTGAAAAGAAAACAATATTGGATTGCTGGTGGTTGAGAAAAAACACAGGCCAGCAGCTCCTGCACTCTATTGGTGGGCGAGCTAGATGAATGTCTCCGAAATCAGTGGGACGTCTATCGATTTTTCCCCTTTGGTCAAGTGATAACTTTTACATACAGGTAGTGGTGTTTGTTCCTTTGTCAGGTGTAAGATTTATGGTGATTCCATGTCCAACTGACAGCTAGCAATAATGCATTTTTACTGTTCCTTTATCTGTTATTGAACGGGCCCTGTGTCACTTCCTGCATCACATGTCCTGTGCATTGTTTTTTCTTTATCATTTGAAATTGCCTATGGTGACACTCAAGAGCACAGTGAGCATAAAGGTAAATTAATCTATGAATTATGGTGAAAGTTTGAATTGTTGATGGATTACAGAGTAAAGTAACTTGTTAACTAAGTGCTAGTTTGTTGTAACAAGAATCTTTTGCTATACCCCAAGTCCTTGTTACAGTGGAACACACTCTTGAGAAATTTTGTAATGTAATTTTTAAGTATTAGTGAATAAAGTCATTGTAAAGTGAAATTGAATTGAAATTGAAATAAGTTTATTGAGGTAAAATACACACAAAGGGATGAGGTAGCTCAAGCTATTCTCACCCCATTCAGTACAACGTGTTAATATATACATAGACACACATTACAAATAAACACATTACCAAACATTCTGAGAGGTAAAAATATACATTTCCTCCTTCACAAGTAGTATGGTATCAGACGTACACACAAATACTTTTATGACCTAGGTATACTGTATAGACAATTTGCAAGACACCTGCAGATAATTCAACAAAATATTACAATCTTGGTGCAAAATTCTTATATCTCTCAAGAATATCATCAACCTTTCCGTTGTGACACATCCAGGCTATTTGTTCAGGAACAGTCCTTATCTCAGTGTTTCTATATACATTAATCAACGGACAATCAAGAATATAATGGGCAAGGGTGTGAGACCTTAACATACCACATAGTTTACACTTCGTGTCATTACCATGAACATCTATCCCATATTCCCAGTAATATTTGTACCCAAGCCTGAGCCGCATGTACACAGAGTCACTCCAAGCATTTCTCCTTTTACCATAAGTGAAATGGGTGTTTTGACTCACATACATGTAGTGTTGCATGGTTTGACTTCTCTCATACATTATCTCTCTCCTCTCCACTCCCGCCTGTGCCTGAATATTTCTGATTTTGCTTCTTATTTGTCTCATTGTGAATTCACATTCAATGTCAACTTGTGGTTTTGATGTGGCACGTTTGGCCAAGTCATCCGCCACCTCGTTGAGCACTATTCCAACATGAGACGGAATCCACATGAATTTCACACTATAACCTTTCAGCTGTATCTCAGTTATTCTTCTCTTACAGTCCTCCACTATAGACATGAAGACTGGGTTTCGACTGTTTAAGGACTCCAGTGCTCCTCGGCTATCGACAAATACAAAAACATTTTTGTCGTCATGACGTACTTCCTCCAAACACGCCAGAATGGCCTGCAGTTCAGCTTGTGTGGATGATATATAATTACTAAGCCGGAGTTCAATTATCCTGTCCACAGTCCCAAACTCCGTATAATCCCTTATTAGGACACCACACCCTGCCCTGCCATCTTCCGCCACCGACCCGTCGCAATATACATGTAAACTGTTGCCTCTTGGTAACCGAGATATCATGCTTCCATACAAACACCGTAATTGTCCCGGTTCATGATGAATCTTTTTCACCTTGAGGGGTACAATTTCGACGTCTATTTTCTGTACTATCCAGGGAGCAGACATATTACACTGTCGAGAGGGTTTACAGCAGTCAAGTACGTCGTATTCCCTGAGGTCATGAGCTAATCCTCTCGTATAGCGTGTCTCCCTCAGTTTCCTGGAAGTGTGTACGTCACTCAAGCAGGTCTGAACGCTCTCAAACAGCTTATCCCCTCCTTTTCTCCGCATGAAACGAATAGATACTCTAGTGTTAATGTCACGGACTCTATCACACACACTCTGTAAATTTAATTCCATTCTCATTATTTCAATCATTGCATTTCTTTGACATCCAAGAATAATCCTCATAGCCTCGTTCTGTATCAGCTCTATTTTTTGAATTCTGCCTTGGCCTGTGTAAGACAATACGGGTGCTGCGTAGTCTATCAGGGATCGAACAGTGCTTATGTATAACATCCGCAAGATAGGTACCCCAACACCTTTACCAGAAAAAGCCAGTGCTTTTAGAGGATGCAGACGGGCTTTACATAAGGTGCTGATATGATTTATTTCAGCATTTTTACTCTCACATGTGTATCCAACATACATGCCCAGATACTTGTACTTCTGTACACGGCTCAGTTCCATACCATTTAGAGTAAGTGTTATATTTCTTCGTTTCCTATACTCGTATTTGGTTTTATCTGCATTTATAACTAAGCCTAACTTGTGACAGGTTGTACCAAGTATGTTAAGAGCATCTTGAATTTTGTTCCCAGAAGTGCCTTGTATAAGAATGTCATCAGCATATATGATCGTCGTGTAAAGTAAATTTCTATCATTTGAGACCTGCATTGTGTCATAAGCTATGCTGCCTTAGCAGAAACTCTGTCCAGCCTAAGTATGTGGTGTCTGTAACTGACTGCGCGAGCCCTATTTCCCAATTACTCACACTTTTGTGAAGGCCAGATATTTGTTTCTACCTTGTTCCATTTATACTGGTAGAAAAATACCCATTGCCCTTACAAAAAAGGACACTGATGAAATGCTACACTAAAAGCCCAAAACACTAAAAAAACATGTTGACCAAACCACACACTAGAAAGTAAAAAGACGACGACGTTTCGGTCCAGAATTTCCTGGACCATTCTCAAGTCGATTGTGTGAATGGACTTGAATGGACACACAATCGACTTGAGAATGGTCCAGGACGGACCAAAACGTTGTAGTCTCTTCATTTTCTAGTGTGTGGTCTGGTCAACATATTTCAGCCACATATTGACTCCTCGTCTGCACTAAAAAAACATCATTTTGCTAAAAAAAATATGGTGCTCATATCTTTTGACATATTATATTCTTAGCTCAAACAGTGTTTCTGCTGTCATTACAATATACGTTACATACAATACATCTATCTATAATTTGTAAACCATAATGAATCACTAAGTAATTCTAGAGTGTGTGGGAATGAAACCTTAGCACAGTATATAGGTACACACTACACCTGCTGACTCAAGCAGCCGACATCATCTGACACACCAAAATATCCAGAAATATACAACGGATGTCGGTATTATTACTTCGAAAACTGCCATTATCATCAGATTTCAATCACTAAATCATAGATATGAATAATTTTCCACAATATTATTTTCTAAAGGAACAGAAGATCACTTTGTATGATGCATAGATTCACAAGCCTCCACTGTGTACTGTTAATGTCTGCCTCCTGCTGTGAACACCATAACTAGCGTTGTGTTCACTGATATCTGAACCTTTCACATAATTTCTATTAGTCAGAATCATCTATGACACTATCATTGCAAAATAATTGCAGCTACTTATTTTACTGATTATTAAGTGTTGTTGTGGCCTAGATTATTAAGTGTGTAGTGGCCAACAGCTGCGCTGTGAGTTGCATGCTCAAGTCTTGGTTGCTCTAGCAGTACTGAGGCTCTCTCAGCCAGGAGGGATGCAGAAGATTTTTTTTTTCAAGATGGCATCTGTTTACTGGAGTTGTGAGAAACAGGATTCGAGCCCCGTGTACCCGCGGGAATTTTGAATCTTGCTATATACTAACAAACATATGATTACCAAACCACATACTAGAAGATGAAAAGACGACAATGTTTCAGTCCGTCCTGGACCATTATCAAGTCAATTGTGACTCTTTTCATCTTCTAGTGTGGTTTGGTCAGCATTATTCAGCCACGTTACTGTGACTCATCATCTGCAAACATGGGGAAAAGGGGGTGTGTTCCACCCTACACATGATATAACAGGTAGCCCAGTACAGTGGTCAAGACAACGGTGCTCTATACAGGGGAATAGTGTTACACATTAACAGCCCCATTCAAAGGTGGATAAATTGCTCACCTGGAGAGCATGCAAAGATCTTTTAACACTATACCACTAGAATCCACTCAATAAAATATCTAAATTATTGGGCTGCCTAAATATTTTTAATCTGAATTTACTTGAGTGCAGGTGGAAGAGATACATAATAATTTAAACTTGGCAAATAATAGGACTGGTTCCAAATCTGCTCACAGAAATAACACCACATGAGACCAGAAGGCATGGCAAGATGTGCAGAACACCCCCATTGAAAAGCAGAAGTGCAATAGGTGCCTTGAGAGAGAACTATCAACATTAGAGGCCCGAGACTGTTCAACACACTTTCACTACACATAAGAGGTATAACTGGCCTACCCCTTACAATATTCAAGAAATAACTCGATAAACACCTCCAAAGGATACCTGATCAACCAGGCTGGGACTCGAAGCTAAGCCCCGAAACTGTCACAAGATAACCACAAGGTATGGGTCAGGGTAAACTATTACATCCACATAGACCTATTATATCCATACAGTATTTGCATCAAACATAAAACCCAGACAATAATTTTTTGAATCTTCATAAGATGATAATCGCATTACCCTGTGAATCAACAACCAATGATAATCGCTGCCTAAGAATTGAACACTATAGGAGGTCAACTCCAGGGGCATCCAAATGGACACTATGCTATGGACCCAGAACACAGGCAAACCTCGTCTGTGAAGCAGCAGCTGCTTAGCAAGCTTCCTGATGAAAAGTAGGTTCAGAGATAATGAAGACCCAATGTGTGCACTTGTTGCAAGCCTATTAGGTCTAAGGTGTCATTGACCCAACAGGCAGCACGATAGAGGCAGAGAAAATTATCAGTGTCCGGCAGCAGGATTGATGAACACCCTTCAACTCGCATGTAGTGTGTGCAGACTTGACGGGTTAATCCCTAACCCTTAAACCGCGCACGTTACCACTCATATTGGGGGCCCAGAAGCGAAAAATATTCGAATTATGTAAAAATAACGTAAAAATGTTAAACAAATCTCCAACTTATTGGGTTCAGTGTCGCGAAACTTTCATCAAAATATTTTCAGAAACCAATTTTTAGACGAATTTTTAATAAATAAGAACATTCTGTTGATAAGGAGAACAGTTCATATAAACTGGAACTGAAGGATAATGCAGTAATAAAGAGATGCAAGCACCTGTCCAATGCTCAAAGAAGAAGAATAGTAGTAAAAATTGTCCACAAAGTGGACATGCAGTTGGTGCCTTTATATCATTGCTGAGTAATACATAATAAATAATAATGAGTAACTATGTTATGTTCTATTTTGTTATATATCATATAAATACATTGGCCAATGTTAATATACAGTACTTTACTTTTATCAATGTCCAACAAAAAATTATTTTTAGGAGATTTTTGTTCAAGATTTTAGTTTTTTTCTCCTTTGTTTATTATCTGATTTCTACATTTACATCTTGGAGAATGCATATGTTTCCCTAACTATGTGAAGATAGAATGAAATTGAGCAACAAATAAATCAGTTACAACTCGCAATACTTAGGACTTTCAATTTTTCTTGGCTGATTTTTTTCTCCGATTTCAAACTATTTTCTTTGTCTCTTTAGGTTGTTTTGATGATTAGGGACCATATTAGGGCATTTTTACTTATATAAAGTATACCCTAAATATATCCCCTAAATCATTATAATTATTATAATTATCCCTTTATTTTGTGTTTTTTGGGGGTTATTTTTTCTTGACTTCATTTCAACACACATTGACCAACAACTTTCACATTCGAGTACGAATGCCAAACAATGTTCATTAAAACATACAATTAAATTAACAAATTAAAACTACCTGTACCTTTATTCATGGTTGATAACTTCAACTTCAATTATCTCTGAAACTAGAGTTTTAAATTTGAGTGGCTTCTAAAATTCTAGTTTTTGACCGATTCTATTTTAACATGCAGTATTGTGCTCAGCTGTCTGTTCTATAATCCCTTCAGAATGGATTTTTCATTAACTTTATACATTTGGATTTATAATTTTTTGGGGGTTTAAATTTGCTGCATATTTCAAATACCGTATTGACAAATTTTTTTACGGTAAACTACTGTATACTGAAAACCAATATCCTAATTTGATGAAAATGAAGATCATATGCTATTCTGAGAGAATAATAACATTAAATGAACAATTGGTGATAGTTCATATTATTTATTCTGAATTGAAAATCTGAAGTTTTCAATATTCAATTTTAAAATTAATTTTGATTCTCTTATTTTTCAAGTTACATTGTGATCATTTAGACAAAGTTGGAGCATTTGCCTAGTTGATTATACAAAAAAAAAAAAAATTGGAGTGTTTGTGCAAGTTTTAAAAACCTATGTTAAATTATGTTATCTTAAATCATATATGTATGTATTGCGGGGTTTAAGGAGTTAATAAGCCATGTGTAGACCCACAGGAAAATTAAGAGAGCCTGAAGTTGACTAACCAAACAGGATACCTGACCAATGCTCGCCAGCACTAGGGATGGAAAACTACAAATAGCAGTGGCATAATCAGAATCAGATGGGAATGCAATGACAGCCAAATATACAGCACTTCTCTCAAATGCCTCTAGAAGCCATCTCCAGTTGCAATAAATCCCTCCAACAAATCAGGGTCTGCCAAATCACATACAGTCTGCCGAATCGATGGTGCACCATACCAGTATACAACGGAATTTTTTTTTTATATATTACTGTAATATGTTTGCCACCTAATACATCCCATGGTCACTCACCCATCTATTAGGGACGTCCTCTTCGTTGACAGCTGCTGTAGCTTTCGATTTTGTGTTCTCAAACTGTACACTCTGCAAGTAGAAATGAGTATTTACAATACATAATTATAAAAGCAAAATATTAAATTAACTTCTGTAGTATATTTGTAAAAGTTTACTACAATTTAGAACTAAACTAAAACAAACTAAAAGAAAACTAAGCACCTATGCAGAGAACTTCTTTTATATTAATATATATAATGTCCAAATTTATCATCAAATTTAACCACTCTCCTCATCTGGTTTGATTGTAAACCAGATGAGCAATAAACCAGAAGCAATCAAACCATTATCTGAGGTTTGATTGTACGAGTTAACAAAAAGCCAGCAATCCATTACAAACCATTGTTATTTATGCATATACAAGAAGGTACATTGGGAATGTGAGGATACATAATATGGTAATTACAGTCTTGTAAAGCCTCTAGTACGCGCAGCGTTTCGGGCAGGTCCTTAATCTAAGAAAATTTTAAGTAGGTAAATACTTGCAAAATTTATAGACAAAAAAAATGATAAGTTACATGGAATGAAAAAAAGAAGACGAGAGAAAATTGTAGGTACAGTATATTAAAGCACATAGGTAGCTAAGATTGTTGGGTGTAGAGACCAAAACAGTCAAACTCCCCATCCACCCCCAAACAATGTAAACAAATGATCAAATCTCTTGAAACTAGCACAAGCTTGTTAGCACTACCCTTGTGGTGTCTGCCAATTGGGGAAGGGGCCAGAGCTTCAGGTCCTTCAAACCAATTATGGAGCAGATGTGAAGACAATTATACAATTTAAACAAAATTAAATTTAAGACTTTTTTTTTTAAATTGAGGACACAAATTCCAGCTATGGAAACAAAGATGACGAAAAGACATTGGAAAGTTTTTTGTGAAAGAGTGTTAGACAGTTGGAACAAGTTATGAGAACAATATGGAACACCTTTTTCTTTCTGTTTTATCTATCTCTGTTTTATCTATCTATCTATCCCTCTCTTTTCTCTCCCTCTCCTTTCTCTCCCTCTCCTTTCTCTCCCTCTCCTTTCTCTCCCTCTCCTTTTTCTCCCTCTCCTTTTTCTCCCTCTCCTTTTTCTCCCTCTCCTTTTTCTCCCTCTCCTTTTTCTCCCTCTCCTTTTTCTCCCTCTCCTTTTTCTCCCTCTCCTTTTTCTCCCTCTCCTTTTTCTCCCTCTCCTTTTTCTCCCTCTTTCCTCTCTCTCTCTTTCCTCTCTCTCTCTTTCCTCTCTCCTCTCTTTCTTCTCTCCTCTCTTTCCTCTCTCCTCTCTTTCCTCTCTCTCTCTCTCTTTTCTCTTGTTCCCATTTACTCCTTTTATTACCCATACATACCCTTTATTACACCTATCTTTGACCTTGCTTTTACCTTCCTCTAAGATTTCCTCCTCCACACCTCTCTCTAGCTTTACTTATGCCCGTGCCTTTCTCATCTCTTCACAATTGACTTGATAATGTTGATAATGTTTCAGGATGGACCGAAATGTCGTCATCTTTTCATCTTCTTCTGTGTGTGGTTTGGTCAACATTCTTCAGCCATGTTATTGTGACATCATTTGCAAGTTATGAGAGGTGGTAGTAGAGGCCAAGGTAGTAGAGGCTACAGACTGTCAGTACTGTAGTTTCAAAGCATTATACGACAGTACTGGGAAGATGGAACACTACGAGCATAGCTCTCATCCTATAACTACACTTAGGTAATTACTAACATCTCACATAATAAAAGCTTTTGAACAAGTGATTACAAATCAAATCACCAGTTTTATGGGGAACATAACCCAGGTCAACATGGAATTTCGAGTGGAAAGATACTGTCTTTTGTAATTACTCAACCTCTATGGCAAAATCACATATTGTAATTAGAAGAAAAACAAAATGCAGATGTTGTATACACAGACTTTGCATTGCTAAGTGTGACCACAGTAGTAACTTATAAAATGAGATCAACAGAAATAACGAGTAAAGTGGGGTATTGGATTTTCAATTTTATGTCAAACAATGCAAAAAGTAAGTCAATTAAATATAATCAAACCCTAGCACAGTGAAAAACTTTGTACCCCAGGGCACAATCCTTGCACCACTACTTTTTTCTCATTCTCATATCAGATACAGACAAAAATACTACTCACACCTTCGTGCCATGCTTTGCAGTTTATACAAAAATCATCATGAAAAATACCTCTGTAGAAGACATGTTAAACTACAAGCCACTATTAATAAAATCTTCAATTTGGCAATGGAAAAGAACATGTTGATTAAGTGATCAGTTCCAGGTGCATGGGTATGGTGGAAACGAGGAACTTAAAATGAAATACAGGGTACAAGACAATCCTACTCATAGAAGGAAAACAGTATGTAGAAATATGGGAATTATAATGTCTGACAACCTGATATTTAGCAAACATAATGAAGAAAAAATAGTCAACCAGGAAAATAATAGGATCGATTATAAGAACATTCAAATTCAGGGATCCCACCGCAATGTTAACACTACTGTATTTAAATCTCTGGCATTGTCCTGTCTTGAGTATTGCTCAGTACTCACTTCCTCAGAGCAGGAGAAATTTTTGAAACAAGGGAATACAGATAACATGATGACCAAACCGCACATCATAAAGTGAATAAACTGCGACATTTCGGTCCATCTAGGACCGTAATCAAGCAGCGTAAAAGAAGAGAGGAAGGTACTGAATAGGCAAATATAAGGCAAGAGAGTGAGATGAGGAGTAGGTAAGAGGCAGCAATAGACAGCACATGACCCACAGCAAGTAATCCTCCATTGCTTATGGGACAGAGTGCTTTTAAATTCAATATATTTTTACCAAAGTCGAAAAACTTAGAAAAAGTATGTAAAAATCTCATTTTAGTGAAAATCTTGTCTTTGTTATATAATACTTTCTTTACGAATAAATAACTCCCCCCACCCACCGCAAAACTGTCCGCCATTGTCCTCTCATCATCGCTGACATACCTGATTGTGTTCTAACAATCGGATTTTTCAGAAAAAAATCAGAACTCTATACTGTATATAAAATGCTGCTTTTGATCGTTGGCAACTACAACATGGCCTGAGACAAAAGGAGGGTGAGTGTGCGAGGAAACCAACAGGCAACATGTGTTGTTCATGCAGAGCTATGGTGCAGTATTGCATCATTTCGTTGCCTCTCGCGCTGCTGTTCTGGTGATTTATTGCTACCATTTTCACGACGACGTACAAAACAAGACAAAACAGAGTGAGTGAGTGAATGAGCAATAAGAGTACAAGTGAGGAGGAGTGCATGACACGACATGACAGTCCAGCTAACAGGAGCTGCGCCTCTACACACACTTCTCATATGTAACTGTGCTGTTTGGACACTGCCAGACACTTCGCTGGCACAAGGGTCAGTGTCATTTACGGTTGTGAAAGAGGCGGTGTGGCTAGCACTGCCATCAATAAAGTTCATAATATTTATTGGTTTTGATAATGTAATGTAAATTGGATTAATTTACTCAGCTCCCAAATATTATGCATACCATACAAATAAATGGATTATTCCAATTTACATCATTCATTATAGGAAAATATGGTTCAATACTCCAACCGATCGGCACTCGACCAGCCTTCAGGAATCAATTAAGTTTGAGTACTGAGGTTCCACTGTACAGTACTTTTGTAACAATGTGAACCATCCTACATATATTGATGTAAGGGACAATTACATAGAATTTGCTGCTAATTCTCTTTGCAATCTGGAAAAAATAAAGATAAAACCAAACTCAAATATTTCAAGTCCTAGTATAGCAGTACTGTGCTATGTTAGGCCTCAGTGTATTTTTTGGTCTAGGATGATTAAGTTAAATTTTATTTGCAACAATTACAAAACCATTTCTGGTTTGTCCAAATTCAATAGTACCAAATTCTACTTTCTAATTGTCCTTCATCAATACATGTACGATGGTACTCATAATTACAATAAGTACTAATCTAATGCGCGAAAGTGTTAAATAGGAGGATGGGCTGAGGAGTAGGTGTAGACACATCCACCCCTCTTGTCACTACAACTTGCCTCTTGCCTCACTCATAATTACAACTACAAATGCTTTCTCAGCTGTTTTGTGCTCAAACTCAAGTGATGTGGAATCCAGCATAAATTATCACCTTTTAGTATAAACCCTAATCATGTAAGAAGGCATAATAAGACAAGCATTGAAAAGTGAAATATTAACAAATTGCATGTGTGAACTGTAAAGAGTTGCTGCTCACAGTCTGATGTATGAATCACAGTCCAGTTGATCAGGTATTCTTTTGGGGTGTTTATCAAGTTCTCTCTGTAACACTATAAAAGGTTGGCTAGTTATGCCCCTGATGTGCCCAAAATGCTATGCATGCTAGTGGCTTTGCAAGAATGTAAAAACATGAATGTTATGTACTCTCATAAACCCAAAGTACCTTCTTATATATAAATGTATAAATAAAATAAATGTTTAGAGGGAGAAAGTTGACAGGTCTTGTTCCTTGCATGCTGATAAAATTGTCTTAGCATACCATTTGCACTTCTGCTTTTCAATGGTGGTGTTTGATCCAAACAAACCACCTCTTGTGTGGGACTTATAAAAGCTTTATTAAGTTCAGATAGATACAGTCAACCCAATCATCTCTCCTGTAGAATTTGTTGCTTTATCATAAAAACTAAGTAATTTGTTACACAGGATCTTCCTATTTGAAAACCATACTGTCTGTCTGTTATTATGTCATTACTCTCCAGGTGTTCTACTCATTTGGTTTTAACTATTATTTCCAGTGTTTTGACTACCATGTTTGTTAACAATACAGGTCTACAATTTAGAGGGTTTTCTCATCTATCATTTTTTTTTAGATTGGAACTATGTTTACCTTTATCCAAATATGTATATCCTAAGATTCCAGTGGAAAAATATGTCTGGAATATCAGTTGAAATGGAAAACTTTGCTCACTTGCACATGCTCTCAGCACCCAAAGTGAAACTCCATTTGGTTCAACAGCTTTTCTCTTCCTAGCCCCTTGAGTAGATTTTACACGTCTCAAGACACCTCTATGTACTCTATGGTGTATTGTACTCACCTAATTGTGCTTGTGGGGGTTGAGCTCTGGCTCTTGTAAATTGTGTAATTTACCTTGTGTCTGGCTCTTTGAAAACCTAATTTTGCACACAAGGTTCTGTCCCCCAATCCCCACACGGTTCCATTCCCCAGAGTCCCCACAAGGTACCATCCCCCAGTCCCCACAAGGATCTGTCCCCAGTCCCCACAAGGATCTGTCCCCAGTCCCCACAAGGAACTGTCCCCAGAATCCCCACAAAGTTCAATCACCCCTGGACTAACTACATTAGCAGCATTCCAGGACAACTAATTTCTTAACTAGTTATTTAACTAGTTATGACCAATAGGTAATCTTGGTATTGATAATAGATATTCATATAATAACATCCATTCACATTATGAGGCATGCTGAATGTCGAATTAATTTGAAGTGTAAATGGGGATAAAATGTAAATAATGCTCCTCCAGAGCAAGAGGAGCCCATAGATGGTGGGCAGCAGGCGAGGGAGGATGCGTTGCCCAGGCTCCACTCCCCCCTGGCCCCAGCTGACAACCAATCACACATTTCTCCAACCCTCACAAGTTGCTATGAACACCAATACGCTCTCTTCCTCATTTCCAACAGAGCAACATCTGGGGCAATAGAGCTCAGCGCTCGCTAACAAACCCCGTCACTAATGAGGTAAAGGAAGTGCAGCACCTGGCTCCGCAGGTCCCCATACACACCAGCCTCGGCCAGGAGGATCCACTCCCACAATTTTACCACCACCAGACGGCAACTTGCCCCCTACGGTATTGGGCACGTATAAATTTTGAGAGGTGTGTGCCCCTTCTACGAGGGCCACAGAGCACTAACCAGCTCGCTAACTTGCCAAAGCCCAATAATAAAAGCGGGGCAAGTGAGGAGGAAGCGGCGGCCGCCCAGCTAACTCTCCCCAGCACAATTTTGGCAGGATCTTATTTTCGCTTTCCGTTCACAATGTCACCCAGGAATAACCAGGGTGCGTAAGGGCTAAATCGTCGATGGTGGTAACTTTAACATAGTAGACAATGCCAAGTAGGTGGTAGAGCGAGCGGTAGACGAGCGTAAAGTTGAGGAAGGCGCGGGATCATTTGGCAGCAGGAAGACGAGGTAGCGAGCCGACACACAAAACACAAGCAGGACTCACACTACGTAAACGTTCCACTAGTTCCTTCTTGCTGCCGGACTTGGACAGTCCACGACGCTCCAACTCGGCTTTTAACTCCACCACCTTCAGATCCTTGATGAGTCGCACGCCGTCAATCGTGAGGCTCCTGGCTCGGTCGCCCATTTTGATGCGTAAATTCCACGACCGCCCGTTCCCCGACACACACTCATTCTTACTCCATTTGCACTACTGAGAGCCAGCAGACGATAAACATGGCACGCGATTGGTCCGCCAGCCTTCCCGCCGCTCAGCTAGCCAATCATTACACAGTTCTCAGGTGGCACTCTGCAACCTTCACCAATAGGCAACAGCGTTATAAAGCAGACGATAAGGGGGGAGGAACGAAATAACATCGAACAGCGCATGTGCTGAGTACGTTGCTGAACCGTTAAAATAACACACATTTCGGTATATGGCAGTAATAGAGGACACGTTTATTCTCATACATAACGAACTTTTAAACCAAGTTTCGCCGCAGGAATAGATCCGGTGGAGGATTTTCACTCATGCTGTACCTACGCACTCGTACTACAACTTCTCCCAAACTACGATAGCAACGCGAAATAAAATATGTATACTTGTGTACACAGCTCGAGAGAAGAAATTAGCAGATTGCGTGGGGCGTCCTCAATGCGTAGGAGAAACTCCCAATCACGCAAAAACACATTTCTCACCCCCCACACACAACCACCCACGACCATATACAGATCTCCCGTCCAACTCATGCATACAGATAACACAACGAACGACCAATAACGCAAAACACTGATATCCGGACAAATAAACCACCCTACGCATACAAAAACAAACCACCTACCCAGGCAAACAGAGGACATGGACCCTGTTTATCAGGGAGAACGGGAGGGTGGACCGTTTGTGGGCCGGAGGCTTGGGAAGTGGGTCCGTTTGTGGGCGGTGTGGGGGGGCCCGTTTGTGGGCGGGAGGCTTGGGAAGTGGGCCAATTTGTGGGCGGGGGACTTGGGAAGTGGGCCCATTTGTGGGGAGGGGACTTGGGAAGTGGGCCCATTTGTGGGGAGGGGACTTGGGAAGTGGGCCCATTTGTGGGCAGGGGACTTGGGAAGTGGGCCCATTTGTGGGCAGGGGACTTGGGAAGTGGGCCCATTTGTGGGCAGGGGACTTGGGAAGTGGGCCCGTTTGTGGGCGGGGGACTTGGGAAGTGGGCCCGTTTGTGGGCGGGAGGCTAGGGAAGTGGGGCTCCATTTATGAGCTGGAAACTTGGGAAGTGGGGCCCCATTTATGAGCTGGAAACTTGGAAAATGGGCTCCATTTATGAGCTGGAAACTTGGGAAGTGGGCTCCATTTGTGAGCTGGAGACTTGGGAAGTGGGCTCCATTTGTGAGCTGGAGACTTGGGAAGTGGGCTCCATTTGTGAGCTGGAAACTTGGGAAGTGGGGCCCCATTTATGAGCTGGAGACTTGGGAAGTGGGGCCCCATTTATGAGCTGGAGACTTGGGAAGTGGGCTCCATTTGTGAGCTGGAGACTTGGGAAGTGGGCTCCATTTATGAGCTGGAAACTTGGGAAGTGGGGCCCCATTTATGAGCTGGAGACTTGGGAAGTGGGGCCCCATTTATGAGCTGGAGACTTGGGAAGTGGGTTCCATTTGTGAGCTGGAGACTTGGGAAGTGGGCCTATTTGTGAGTGGGAGAAGTGGGAACTGGGGCCATTTGTGAGTGGGAGACTTGGGAAGTGGGCCCCATTTATGAGCTGGAGACTTGGGAAGTGGGCTGCATTTGTGAGCTGGAGACCTGGGAAGTGGGCTCCATTTGTGAGCTGGAGACTTGGGAAGTGGGCCCCATTTGTGAGCTGGAGACATGGGAAGTGAGCCCCATTTGTGAGCTGGAGACATGGGAAGTGGGCCCCATTTGTGAGCTGGAGACTTGGGAAGTGGGCTTCATTTATGAGCTGGAAACTTGGGAAGTGGGGCCCCATTTATGAGCTGGAGACTTGGGAAGTGGGGCCCCATTTGTGAGCTGGAGACTTGGGAAGTGGGCCTATTTGTGAGTGGGAGAAGTGGGAACTGGGGCCATTTGTGAGTGGGAGACTTGGGAAGTGGGCTTCATTTGTGAGCTGGAGACGTGGGAAGTGGGCTCCATTTGTGAGCTGGAGACCTGGGAAGTGGGCTCCATTTGTGAGCTGGAGACCTGGGAAGTGGGCTCCATTTGTGAGCTGGAGACTTGGGAAGTGGGCCCCATTTGTGAGCTGGAGACTTGGGAAGTGGGCCCCATTTGTGAGCTGGAGACATGGGAAGTGGGCTCCATTTGTGAGCTGGAGACTTGGGAAGTGGGGTTCATTTATGAGCTTGAGACTTGGGAAGTGGGCCCCACTTGTGAGTTGGAGACTTGGGAAGTAGGACCATTTGTGAGTGGGAGACTTGGGAAGTGGGCCCATTTGTGAGTGGGAGAAGTGGGAAGTGGGACCATTTGTGAGCAGGAGACAGAAGAATTTGGCCCATTGGTGAGCAGAAGACGGAAGAATTTAGCCCATTTGTGAGCAAGAAACGGGGAGGAGTGGACCCATTTGTGAGTAGGGGACAAGGGGAGTTAGTCCAGTCGACAGAGGATGACAAAATGCCAAATAAGGAAAAAATAAAGGAAAGCTGCAATAAGCCTTATCGGCTTCGTAATACGGTACTAAATAACATTCAGGATTGAAAACCCTGATGTCAAGGATCACTCCCAAATGTGCTGAGGTGGTCACAATACCTCGTACGATTCGGGGTAACCCTGGGCATCATGGCTTCGAATCCTGGTTGGGCCATTTAGAGTTCTTAGTGATCTATCTATGGTTTGGGTGTTCCTGCAGCAGCCCAGGATTGTCTCTCTTCGCCCACCAACCATTCCGCCGTTCTTTCCCCTCTCCTCACATCCCCCACCCTCTTCCCTCCTATTCTACCTCTCTATCTTCTTCCCTTTCTCTACCTCCTTCTCCCTTTTGTCTTTCAGTCCACCTTTCCCCCCTTTATTCCCTTTCTAGCCTCCAACCTCACAGATATTGGCCCATCACCTAACTTTCCTTCTATTCTTATTTCTTTTGTCATTCGCCAGATATAATTTGTATGAAACTAACTTCCCAGTGTTATAAATCAGATGTGTCCTCATGTCTTGTCATTCCTCACTAGAGAATGAACCTTGTAGGTTCAAACCATTGTGTAAGTTTAATACATAATACTTTATTATAGGTAGCTAGTTTTTGTTCTTTTCATTAACCTTGAACAAATATGACATTCAGAGAAATTCTCTTCCAATGAGTCAAGATGCAAGACCACTAGAGAGGATATAAGCCCTATACAGAAAATAATCAATATGGAATACGAGTCATATTCAATGAAACATGCCTAAAAGAAAACCTGCTGCTAATATACACCAATATATATATTATATATATATATATATATATATATATATATATATATATATATATATATATATATATATATATATATATATATGTCGTACCTAGTAGCCAGAACGCACTTCTCGGCCAACTATGCAAGGCCCGATTTGCCTAATAAGCCAAGTTTTCATGAATTAATTGTTTTTCGACTACCTAACCTACCTAACCTAACCTAACTTTTTCGGCTACCTAACCATATCTAACCTATAAAGATAGGTTAGGTTAGGTTAGGTAGGGTTGGTTAGGTTCGGTCATATATCTACGTTAATTTTAACTCCAATAAAAAAAATTGACCTTATACATAATGAAATGGGTAGGTTTATCATTTCATAAGAAAAAATATATAAAAATATATATAATTCAGGAATACTTGGCTTATTAGGCAAATCGGGCCTTGAATAGTAGGCCAAATAGTGAGTTCTGGCTACTAGGTACGACATATATATATATATATATATATATATATATATATATATATATATATATATATATATATATATATATATATATATATATATATATATATATATATATATATATATATATATATATATATATATATATAATATATATATATATATATATATATATATATATATATATATATATATATATATATATATATATATATATATATATATATATATATATATATATATATATATATATATATATACTATATATATATATATATATATATATATATATATATATATATATATATATATATATATATATATATATATATATATATATATATATATATATATATATATATATATATATATATATATATATATATATATATATATATATATATATATATATATATATATATATATATATATATATATATATATATATATATATATATATATATATATATATATATATATATATATATATATATATATATATATATATATATATATATATATATATATATATATATATATATATATATATATATATATATATATATACACACACACAGTATAGACACATGATCACCAAACCACACATCCAATGAATACTTAACCACTGCACTGCGCACCTGGTTTCGGCAAAAACTTCATAGTGCAATTGTTAAGGACATATTTTAGTTGCTTTTATGTGTGTTCAGGTAAAGTTAGTATGAAAATGTTTCGAAACTCAACCATTTTCATTTCCAAACACAAAGAATGATGAATATATTAAAAAAAAAAACTCTCAAAGCGCCTTAGAGCGCTCTGCGCAGTACAGTGGTTAATAATGGTCCAGGATGGACTGAAACGTCATCGTTCCTGAATTTTTTGGTGTGGTTTGGTCATCATATCTCCAGCCATGTTATTGTGACTCATCATCTGCACATTCAATACATCTCTTACAAGATTGATGTAGAAAAACAGGGACAGGGACTTTAGACAATGGGAATATAGGAAAAACAGAACTCGCCAATATCAAAATGGAGAACATTGTAGAAGATTTTAAAGTACTGTACTGTACTGTAGTTACATTCAATTGTGCTGGGTTCAAACCCAGAATGTATTAATATGTCAAAATGTTGTGTGTGATATTCATTGTTCTGGAAGAAAATGGACTAAAATCTTGTGTGAAACCCTCTTCAAATTTGTAGATCGCTTTCTGCACTGCCAGCACTGAAATGTCTGTTGACTGGTCCCGTCCTGGACGACCCTATGTTGGTAATGCTACAGTATCCTGTGACATAACATGCACCGTAAAGTTGATGCTGTCAATACCCTATCAGAGAATACTACTAACTGTACTCATCTCTAATTTGAATTTGATCATGTGTGAAT